TTCCATCTGGCCCGGTTCTGTTCTATTATATTCTATGGTAGGCCCATCTGGCCCGGTTCTGTTCTATTATATTCTATAGTAGGTCCATTTGGCCCAGTTCTGCTCTGGCATCAATTTTCAGCCTCGCTCTGCTCTGCAGCAGCAAACCGTCAGACCTTTAGGTTCTATACGGTTCTGACACTGATGATCAGTTTACTTCTTTGATCCAATATTAATATCGAAAATTCAAAGTGTATCCGTGACTATGGGCCAGATCCATGGGGCAGATCTATTCTGTCTATTTCTATAATTGATCCAAGTCTGGCTACAAATGTCTGGAGCAGTTTGTCCTTTTATGGGCGTCTGTCTCTGACTGAACTGACCTCCGTTTATTTAGGACCTTCTAACCTGATCGCTGAGGAAAGCTTTCTAAAAATATCCAGTGAAAAAAATGAATATTGGAAAATATCAGCCTGAATCTAAGGTCTGTGATCTAAACCAGCTGAATAATATTCTGCTTCTGTGACCCACTGGCTAATTAGAAACTGGTTCTTCCTGATCCTTGTTCTCCATTTGGGTGATTTCACTTGACCACACGTTGATTCCACGCAAAAAAACAAAAGGATGAATGATTCATTATATCATATGAGGTAAATATTGGTATCAGTAAGGAGAACAATGGATCCGGACCTCTCTAATGCTGGTGTCAAAGCTAACAGATCTCTGGTACTGCAGGAGTATCAGGATCTGCAGATACTCAAATTCAAAACTGTGAATCGGTTCATTCCTGATCACAACAGTACACCCGTCCTCAGAGAGGAGTGAGGGTTAAATTAAATGGGATCTGGTTCTCTACAGACACTGCAGAAGAACTGTTCTACTGAAAATGGATCAGTGTTGCTACACACTGTATTATTGGCATCTTTAGAGCTACATATCAGCCGCTCCAATCATTGAAGAATTGACTGATGCACTCGTCCGCTACACAGGAGAAAGGCTGAAGATTAAATATCGGAGAATCTGATGGTTTCTAAGTTTCAGGGAAAGATAACTGAACTGCGATCTGAAATGCTGCAGAGGACAAGAGGGAGAAAATGATGCAGCGTCTAAGAAAGTCAGAGAAAAAAAGAAATCTCTAATCGTTCAGTTGAGCTTTAAAATAACGGCCAAGCTTCCAACGTCACGCATCTCTAGACCTTTTCTTCACTCTAACAGATTTCAGACCGAGGTTCAGGGGAGCAGAGCTCATGGTTCTGGGGTTCTGCAGGACTACAGCGGTACTCACACCACAGAGCAGGCGTAGCAGCCCTTCTTGCTGCTCTCCCGGATCAAAAACGCTCCGTCTGGCTTCCCGACCAGCAGCTCCTCCGCCTGCGTCCGGTTCAGATCGCCCACGAACCAGCTCTTCTCATCGTGGTGGGGCAGGTTCTCATCCTCATCAGCAATGAAGTAGCTTCTGTTTGCAAGGAAACCCACGGTGAGAACGACCCAGCGGGACGTGAAACACATGTGAAGCAGACAAGAGAGACTCACTGATCAGGGTTGTCGTTCTTTATTCCCAGCCAGTCGTTGATTCGTTTCTGCCGGACTCCTTTCTGATTCAGCCAGCTAGAGAGAAGAAGAGAAAACTCTGATTATCAAGACAGAACAGGTCCGCTCACACAAACCGTCCTGCTAGGCTATTTGAACGGGATATTTTACTGTGTTCAAGCAGAACCGCCTCATCCACCTGCTTTCTATGATCTAACAGAAGCAAACCTACAGAACCGTGAAAACACCAACAGTAGAATCAACAAATGGACTTCGTTATAAGGAGCCATTCAGCAGACTTTCACATCCACCGCATGCCTCGTCCAGATAGAAGCCTATTCACTTCCTGGTTCCCCCCCTCTGCACATGCTCAGTATCGTAGCTCTTTTGTTGCTATAAATACAAACGGAGGCTTCATTTACTGACTGAGCAAAAATCATTACAGCCCAGCAGGACGCAACAACCGTTCAGACACCGCTCCATCAGAACGGAAGACGTTCTCCTGAGTGCTCTTCAATCCACACTGAGTGAGGAGAACCTCCCCCATCTCGGTCCATGGACTTACACTAGGTACTGGTCCCGGATCTTGCGGAGCTGTAAGAGGTCGGGCTTCAGGCTGTTCATCTTCTTGTCAGTCTCCCGGTTGTCCGTGGCCTGCGTCTTCAGGTCCTGCTCCAGCCGCACCTTGCTGTCGTGGATCTCTCCCAGACGGGATTTGAGCTTCTCGAAGTTCACCAGGATCCGCTCCATCTCCGTGTCGTTGGCCTCGCGGCAGAGGCGCTCGCTGCAGTCCTTGCTGTAGCGCTCCTGCGTGTGACACTGCTCCTCGAAGATCTTGATGGTCTCGTTGAAGGCCTCGATGGCCGTGCGCTTCATCTGGATCTCCTAGGTGCAAGAGGAAGAGGAGGTGGAGTTTGAGTGGCCGGTAGAAGGTTAGCTGCTTGCAGGGTTCTGCTTGGAGCAGGTTTACCTGCGAGGTCTTGGTGTATTCCTCATACAGCAGGTCGTACTCTTTGCTCTTCTCCTGGTACTGACTGTGGTATTCCTGCAGCTTCTTCCCCACAGCATCGATGTTGTCCTCCTTCACCAGCTGGTCCTGAAAGACAGACCAGAAAATCTGAGGATGGAGGGATTAATGGAGAGGCCACGCCCCCGATGAATGCCACGCCCACCGAATCTGGGCAATGAGAGGAACCAACACTGTCAAGAGTTTGCCTGGAATAAAAACTAAATCCAGACTCTTTAAGCCCTTTAACATCTGAACTAATCTAAAAGTAGTTTCTAATTTTGGATTTGAAGCCTTTTAGGATTTATTAAAATCAACCTGTTCAGAGTAGAAATGTAGAAAACAAACATCAAATAGAGTTATTTCCATTATGCAGAATTGAAAATAATTGAAATAAGTGATTAATCATAGTTTCCTCCCATAACAGGAAACTGATCTATAAAACATGCAGATAAAGCTCCTTGGATCAATAGAAGGAATATATTTTTAACTGAATTTAAATGACTGGGTTACAAAAAAAAGTGACAGTTCTGAAAACTAGTTTCAAATCTAACCAGCTGACCTGATCAGATATTGAAAAACTGATTTGATATCAGCCAAAAAAAGAATATCTATCAGTCGGCTTCTACAGTCTGATATCAGAAAGCTCATCTTAGAGGACACCCTTCTGCTCTGACGCATCTTTCCACGCCCTGATCTGCCTACGAGGAGCTCCTCTCTGGGTTTGTTTACATCTATAGACGATCACCCACCTGCTGGAAGCGGGACACCGGGTACAGGAGCTTGACGTCCAGCTTGGTGTTGTACTGAGCCAGAGACTGGTGCCTGTAGTGGCTGATGAGCTCCACCACAGAGCTGAAGGTGAGCGGCTCAGAGAAGCCGTACTTCCCGTCTCTGTGGTAGATCTTGATCAGCTTGTTGTTCCCTCCTTTCCTGAACACAGAAACACAAGGTGAGGATGGAGCTGCTGCGCGGTCTGAGTGTCCTGCTGTCATGGGTCTGGACCGGCCTGTTTACCTCAGGGTCAGCGTGTAGTCGCCCTGCATCTTGGTGGAGGCGTCCCGAACCAGAAAGGTCCCGTCAGGCATGTCTCTGAGCTTTTCGTTCACCTCCTCCCTGAAAACAAAAACAAACAGTAGCTTCAGTCACCAGAACCAACCACCCAACAGAACCCTCACAGGACCACAACCAAACATTCTCACTTCCTGCTGAACTTATTGTGCATCACACAGAGCAGTTCTGAAGCAAACCCATCTGACCCCGCCCCCTTGTGGTGGAGCCGCCAATCACAGGCTGCTCCTCACCAGGAAGTTCATCATCAGTTAATTATTGAAGGAAAGTTTATGTTAGAACTTCAGTCAGTGGGAAACAAACGTAGATAAATAAAAAAAAGTATTTCAGCTGATTAATGAATAAAACAGTTTATTACATCAGAAGATCAATAAAGGTTGTTATTATTAGGAGGTTATTTTAACAGGTCAGTTATATTCTTTGTTTCTTTCCTCCTGAACTTAATAATTTTCTCTAATAATTCAGATTTTCCTTTCCTACAACTTTCTCCCAGTCTCCAATTCCTCCTGGTACCAGCTGGTTCCGTTTGTCTGTAAAGACCCGGTAAGCATACCTGGATATGTCGCCCCAGTACCACTCCGCCTCCTGCAGTGGACCGGCCACCCCGCCGTCATCGGCTTCACCTCCTTCTTCCTCCCTGGCTGAAGAAGACTGCTGAGACTTGGCTGGCTTTGGAGGAAGAGCTGCAGGAGAGAGGATGAAGAGGATGAGGAAGGACATGAGGAACGTGGACCCAGAACAGTTTGACACACAGGGTTCTGATCCAGAAATAAAACCTATTTAATTCAGAACCTCTAGAACCTGCACCAGTGTCTGGGTTCTTAGAGTGGTTCTGTAATACTGCAGTAAAGGAGTCTGTGACGGTTGTGATTCAACACACTGGTACTGATCCAGTTCACTCTGTGGCTCTGACTGGAACCAGTACTACTCGCTATCTCAGACATTCAGGTCCAAATCCGGTCGGAGCAGAATTTGAACTCCACCTGAAGTAGAAAAGGCTACAGTCGGGCTCTGATCAGCAGAACAACAGTCAGAAGGAGGAAGGGGCCGGATCACCGCTGTACCTCTGCAGATGGGAGGAGAAATGGGGGAGACGGTTCTGTCGGCACCCTGAGTTCATCAGTGAACTCAGTCAGAAACAGAACCGAACAGCAGAACCGGTAGGAGAATCTGGTGGGAAAATAGTCTCCTCTGACAGAACATCAACTTCAGCCAGAGGTTCTGCTGGACCGGACCGCTTGCCTTTAATGAAGCTGCACCCTGGTTCCGGTTCTGTACCATACTCTGCTGATGGAGGCCAAACACCAGAACCAGTCTGTTTTTCTTGGAGCGGTTCTGGTACCACTGGTCCAGTGTGCTCTAGAACCTTCTACCAGAAACTGTTCAAACATCCACAGCCCAGCTGAGGAAGGCTAGACCCTCATCTTCATCACACAGTGATCCAACAGGTTGATGTTCTGGTTGGACCTGGACCCAAACTAAGACTCATCCTGATCAGCAGTCAGAACTGAGAGAAGGAGCTTCTCTACACCATGATGATGCTGATGATGCTTCGTTGAACCATCAAATTATTTTTTTTCCCCTTTCAGTTTCAAGATAAAAGAAAAATCCTTCCCATCTCCTCCTCCTGTCCGGTTTGCCTGATTCTGTATAAATATTCTCCATCTTCAGATTCCAGCTAATAAAAAACATCAGAATCTACAGATTTGGGTCCAAAAGACCAAACAAAAAACCCAAACATCAATCAATAAATCTGACAAAGTTAAAACCAAATAAATGAAACCAGCACAAAAGAGCGTTTGGACTAAACTCAGGTTCTGCATGTGAACTTCAGAACAAAGGAGCCGCGGTAGAACCAGGTGCAGCTCCTTGGCGGGTCACTCATCCCGTCACAGAGAGACGAGCGCTCCGACCTCTGATTGGCTGCAGCATCTGGAACATCGTGTCTCTGCCTCAGACAATAGTTCATAGTATAACCTGCAGAGTCTCTCAGGTCCATCAGCTTATTGTGAGGATGAGTACGGTTAGTCTTCTTCCTCAAGTGTCCGTCTACTTCAGGTCCAAACACCTAACAGGCAGAACCTCACAGCTCAGGTTTTGAGACATCTACATGTTTAGAAGTTTTCCTGCTGCAGCAAAGTTCTAGAAAGTGACATGAAATGAATCTGATGAATGTTTGAGGGAAGAAGAAAATCACTGATGAAGATGAGGTCTGCCCCCGAAGCAGAGAAACATAAAGGAGACAAAGGCAGTACAGCTGAAGTGGACTTGGAGTGACAGAGGGTCCAAACAAAGCCCGGACTGTGGCGCTGTAAATCATTCAGAACTGCTGCGCAGCGCTGAACAAAGGGGGCCGTCAGCGCAGCACCCCCCCTCCTCAGCAGACAAAGGAGCAGCGCTGACACACGCAGCCCAGAGTCACTGGGACGGAGAAACAGCGCTGGAAGGAACAATCACCGCTCAGAACCCACCAGAACCACTCCAGCACAAGTTTAGCAGGGGGGTCAGGACAGAACCGGATCACAATCATCTTCACTTATCAGCATCATCAGATCAACAGAGGAGAAACTTCACAGCAAAACCAGCTCTGCATTAACGGTACAAAAACCACAGGATTCCTGCACCAACCGGGCGACAGGACTTCCCAGCTGGGTCGCAGTTTTTTAGGGCTAGAGTTGGTTCTGACTCCCCAGAATTTAGACCCGTCTGCAGGTTTAATGGGACAGAAACAGAAACCAGCCCAGAAAGTTTCAGAGAAGCTGAGGAGTCTGGATCATTTAGAACCGGTTCCTCTGGTTAACCAGAAGTTTGGCCCAAACTGGAGAAATGAAACGGACTGGGATTCCTACCGTCCTCCATGGTGTCCTCAATAAGCTGCATGCTGCCCATCAGATCTCAGCTGCTCCCTCCACCTCCTCCTCCTCCTCCTGACTGAAGCACAGAGCCACAAGGCTGAGAATGAAAACGGGCCGACTTAACAGGCCAGCCCACTCAGCCAATCAGGGGGAAGCCTGTCAGGAGGGGGCGGCGCTCTGATGGCTACAGAAAGGAGGGGGGTGTGGAGCTGAAATGAACAACGGATCCAAAAACCCACCAAAGGCTACAAGTGGGAACTGAAGGAACCAGACTCTGATAAGGCCCTCATCACCTTCATGTACCGACTTCGACCCGCCTCCTCAGGTCCGCTCAGATCTTCCTCTCTGCAGCTTCACATATTCACACTTCTCCAGTGTGAATATGAACCTTTACTGGTTTTAAAAACAATATTTGGACCTAAATGTGCTTTAATTACAGAGCCATTGTCAACAGTTCAGTGAAGATGGCTCATTTTTGCAGGTTTTGTTGCTTCTGGATGATTTTGTGTTTAAACTTTACAAGTTTGATAAGAAAGGCTGCAGCTGCATCTGTTATGCAACAAAGTGCTGCAGCCTGAAAAGTGTTGTCCTATACCCCCCCCCGGCGATTTTCCATTGTAGGACGACTAGTTGCTCACAAAGACGCAGGCTGTCGTCTACCCTGGGGTTGGGGGGGGACTCACAGCTCTCAGAGGTCTGCAGCCTGTCAGCATCTCCATCTGACTTTCAGTCCTCGCTCTCTCAGTCCCTCCCCCTGGTGGGGGCGTGCAGCCAAACAAAGACACAGAGAGGCAGCAGGACGAGCCAATTCAAACACACAGATGAGCCGCGTGAGGAATGATTAAGGTGAGCCTTATTTTCACCTTTGCAGACCCAGAACAAAAACATCCCTGCCGTCAAAAGGTCGGTACCTCTCTCAAGGCAACAAACCACAAAAAGCTGCATAACTCAAAGAAGCGACGAACACAATGACATTAATGAGCAAACGGCTCCAGACGCTGTCAAATCAAACAACCAGAACCAAGGAGGAAGAACCATGAACCCCCCAACCTGAGCTCAGACCGAAGATCCTAAACACATGAAACAATCCAAGCAGCAGAATGGGACCAGAAAACACAGCCGATGCACCCCCCCACTTGCTGACACAAACTTCCCCTTCAGTGCTGCATATGCATCTCAGGGATCCAGAGAAATGTCAAATCACATTGATCTGCCTGAAAACATGCCTCTGCCCCAGAAGAGACGCTACAGAGAGGCAGCGGCCCGTATCTGCACCACCATCAATTCAGCAGGACAGAGGAAGAGGGGGGGCTGGGACGACAGCAGCACAATGCCTGGAGGACGAATGAATGGAGAACAGGAGAAATCAGGCTCCCCTCCGGCTGACAGTGGGAGAAACGGTGCCGCAGACGCCTGTTAGACAAAGATGTTAGGATGGGGAATTTTATTCCAGGTTTCTGCATTGTTTCCCCGGTGCATCTCACTTCCCATCCCCCTTTCAAAGGCAATTTCTGAAAGATCCAGAAAAGAAACTAGCAACCTTAATAAAAACCCTGCTTGTAGGAAAGTTTAAAACAGCAGGTTTGTTTTATTCTTCTTCAACAACGATGCTGTTTTCCCTGGATGTCAGCAACCAAGTTTTCACATCATCTGAATATTGATGACAATATTCAGCTGGATGAAGAGGCAGCCTCTTCCTCACAAAGCAGGTTTAAACATGGAACCAGATCTACACATCTAAGTTTACCTGCAGATCACAGGTAAACATCCAATCCTCTGGTTCAGGAGTTAAAAGCTTTTCCATGATCAGTAAAAAATATTTTTTTCCATCTGAGAAACTACTGACAGTAAAAATGATGATTTCAATGCATTCTGGCTGCATCAGATTCATACAATAAAGCCTAAAATAAACCAATAAAATAAAAAGCCATTAAAAGACACAGCCAAACTCTGTCTTTTAATGACTCAGATATAACCAGTTAAAAAAATACATTTAAACATCAGAAAGAATGGAGGGAAATCTTTTTTTAACACCTGGGGCAGTTTCAACTAAATATTTTTAGGGGAATAAAGTATCCAACATAATTTCTGCTCTTATTTTTCACATAGTAAAGGCTTTATGGGTGACAAACTCGGTAAAGGTAAATAATCCCTGGTGTGTTTTGGTTGATGCAATCCAATCTGAGGATCAGATCATCAAATAAAACTGAATTAATTTATTAATATTTCTTTAAAAGAGAATAGCCCTTTAATAAAGCTCCTTCCAATCACTCCGTCGGGTGGCTGCCTACCTGGAGGCTGGTCCATCTCCAGGTAGAAGATGAGCTCAGTGGAGTAGGGCATCATCACGTCCCGCCAGCCTCCTTCCTCTCCAGCTTTCTCTGCCGTCCAAACCGTGTTGTACATCGCTTTCAACGGTCAAGCGCGCCTCGAATAAACGACAAAAACCGACGTGTATAATTTAAAAACACCTATAAGACGTATAATTTAATGTTTCTATAAACTCCGTCTGAATTCCTGCTTCAGAGTAAAATAAATAGATAAAAAGCGGACAGCGAGCTCCGGGCTTGCGGCTGTTTCTTCAGACATGCTAACAGCGGAGGGCTTTTCATGAAGGCCCGCTATGCCCGAACAAACGTCCCGTTCAGAAAAAAAAAGGAGATACTCGTTCAAACTGGGAGGCTAGCGCCGCTTCTTTCAGCGGTCTCCTTTCCTTCTCCTCCAGACAAGCCTCCGACTGCCCGGCTCCATTTTTAAAACAAGCACTGAGCAATGGAAGCTGGTGGAGGTAGATACCGGCCGGACCGAACCACTCTGCGGAGGCTCACGGGGGTCAAGTGGATTATTTTAAAACAAAACACCTCCCCAAAAAGCCAATTTAACTCAACCAATATATTGCTATTAGATTTTAAATACAATAAAAGCCGATATTTATAATGGAGATGTCAACAAAATGCTAAATATAGCCGCAGTGATGATTTTGTATATAGCTCTGTCTTCGCTTGTTCTCGTTCCAAGTGGGAAAATCCATTTCCTCCCGCCCAGTGGCGGACCAGCCTCCAGGCGCATGCGCATTGACACAGTAGGAGGACGACTTCAGCTTGTCTGCCAGCTCCTGTGAGGTTTTCAATAGAATAGGACTCATGATGTTAAAATAGTTCTCCAGTGAAAAGAACCCATGGGTCCCATTCAATTTGGTTTTCTTTTTTAATATTCCAGAGAAAGACTAAATCACAGTTCTGGTGTTTCTGTAAATGATAACAACGATTCCAGCAACAATGAAAACCACCAATTTTCTGTGGTTTTCCAGAGAAAGATGACGCTGAGCCAGTTTAAAAGAAAAACATGGATCCAGTTTTACTGAGCTCAGCCAGGAAGTGTTAACCACAGATAAGGTTTAATTGAAGGTTATCAGATTACCTTTAGAAAAATACAATAGAAAATCCGGTAATGCTGTAGGCCTATAAAATGCACTAAATGAGCAGCAATAATTAATTTCATTAACTCTATGTTTAGAGCACAGAGATGGAACATAGAGGTGTGTGTTAACACAATGTCATGACAGGTAGACATAAGTAATGACGTCTACCAGGGTCATAAGGTCAAACTATTTCTGCAGAAAGAGTATTCACAAAATAAAACATCTCAGACAGGTGATAAACTTTTTAAAGTTGATGCAACAACAGATTTAAAGTGAATTCAGAGCACAAAGCTCAGAGAAATCACAGAAAAATCAAAGAGCCCCATCTCAGACTCAACTGGCCTCAGTTAGCAGTGGCAGCAGAGTAATGATGGCCCAATTAAAACCCAAACTTCTACTGATTAAATGGCTGTAGGGGATCTTCTGAGTGCCGTGCAAATACAAATGCCTCAAAACCTCAATGAACTAAAGCAATGTTAAAGGGATATGTGGAATGATATTTCATTAATAATTCCCAAATCTCTTCTTTATGAATCCATTGACTGACTCCAGGGAAAAATACAGTTCATGCTTCAGATAAAACTTATTTGATAAGTGATGCAAGAGATTGGATGTTGATAAGCATGGAGAACAGTTACTTTAAAGGCCTTGAAGGCTGATAAAACAAACGATTAGTTCGCTGCAGATATAAGCACACAGTGTTTGGTGTCGGACAGATGAGTACCAGTCCTCCACCTTCTGAAGGAGGAAGTTTAGCCTTGACTGGAAATAGTGAAAAATGGTACAAGCTGAACAGTCAAGGAGTCATATCGAAACTGAATAACACGCTAACCTAGCAAAGAAGCAAACTGCTAAAAATACATGTGAGGCTGGACATTTATGACCACATATATCATTAGAAACTGATGATGGGTGGATGCTCTGTCAGAACTTTACTGCAGCTTTCAGTACCAAAAACACCAGAGCATCCCTAATTCAGACAGTACCACATGCCTAGATGCACAAACTCTCCTCAAATGTTTGGGTTTTCTGTACTAAAATGCAGTTTCCATCTGAATAAGAACACAAAGGATTTAAACATAATGCTTACACCTTATGTCACAGCAAATTCAAAATGTCCTGCAAACTAAGCAGTTAGACAAGCACACACAACACTGAGAACAACACACATGCAAAGAAAACATTCTACGGCGAAAAACTGTAGTCAGAGGAAATAGAGATGCATAATACATTAATGATGCTAACATTTAAAAAACAAATACAAAGGAAAAATACGGCAAGTCGAAAACCATTGCTAGCTAAGAGAAGCTGCAAACTTAACAGAAGTACTCCAGCCCACTAGGGGGAGACGACCGGCAGCTCATATTGTTACATCATGCTTACATCAGGATGCTAAGAGAGATTAGGTAAAAATATTCCCCTTCTCTCCCCCCTCTGAAAATCCTCTGGATAGCATCCTGTTGATGTTTTTTCTAAGAGCCCTATCACTACCAGATCTGTCCCGGAAGCACGATCTGTTCTGCGCATGCGAGAACAGATATATTCCGTGTGTCCATAATTATGCAATTATGGTACTAAAAATATTTATTTCTAACTCACTAAATAATAGTAATACACATCTGTAAAAAATGTTTTAAGACTTTAGTGAGACATTTTTTATGCTTTTTACATTTTCTTCGTTAAACTGCTTCGCTGACGTCATCATCAGACGAAATATGATAAAACCATGTTTATCTGTAATTTATTGTTGTTTTTTTCTTTAGATTACGCACTATATAGCATAAGGTTAAGACTAAAAAACACAGGATTTATGTTTGAATCCAAAGCCGAAAAAGTTAGCTCCCGGAAGTAGCGTAAGATCCCATTTCCATCGCAGATCGGGCAGAGACGAGTGATAAAGGAAAGAATTTTAAGGCGTTTATTTTCTCAAGAAATACATTATTAACCTTTAACACATTATATTTTTGTACGTTTACTATTTTTGGTAAGGGAAAACGTAAACGAAAATGTAGATATTTTTAACAAAATAAAATCGAGGACGACCAGGATGTATACCTGGATGCCCAATCGCAAATGAGTATATGGCCCACGCGCAGAACAGATCGTGCTTCCGGGACGGATCGGATAGTGACAGACCCAATCCTTAGATGTTAGTTAGTAGTAATGTCTCTGTTCTAGTTTACAATGACTTGATGATTGTCTCCCCCTGGTGGTCTGGAGATCTTCAGTTATGGGAAGTTAATTTGCAGCTTTTCTAAACTCTGTGATTGCTTTTGCTACTTACAGCATTATTCCTTTGCCTGACCTTTCTTGTTCTCTGTCCGAGCATCATTTATATGTTTGTTAGTCTGATTTTTGTTTTACAAAACTTTTTGAATTTATTGTGAAATCATGAATGCACACAGTGTTTGCACCCCTCCTCCCCCCTTAGAGGGCCATCTGATATATGAACCTTTACTGGTTAAAAGGAATCATATAAATTTAAAATGATTCATAATGAAGCTGCTGAGTCATTCGTTTGTATCAAACATGACCAAAACCAATTAAAAAACAAAAATGTAAGTTTACTGAAGATGTGATGGGAC